TGTGACAAAAGCAACAAAGGTTGCTTCAAAGTCTGTTGTTGCCCTTTATTTGCTTCTAATGTTCCCAGCCCCCCTTCCCCAGCTTCACTTTCAATGCCACTTTTGGCCCCCTTATCACATCCAACAGGGCTTCCAGGAACTTTTAAAACTATTAGGTACAGTTCTGTATTTTGCTGCTCTGTAATACCTATTTTTAAGCCTGGTTCGGATTACTATTGATTTCAATGGGACTTCCAGTTCAGAAATTCCAAACAGAGACATTTGCTGATTTATAGAAAGTTCTGCTGATCCACATCTGATCAAACTTTTCTGATGTTTATTTATTTTCTAGTTGCCTCTATCACAACTCAACTCTTCTATTGTTCTTATGATAATATGGCATACCCAAACATATACAATTATGCTCAATGGGCCTTGAACATGGGATCACTTTCTATTTTACTTGATTTTTTTTATAAAGATGATTTTCTAATGTATTTTACAAGATACCTTTGGAAACCTGAGATACTTTTGTGTTATTACCAGAGGGGTCCCAAGCAGTGGGATAACTATAGCCATAGTGGCCCATGCAGCTGCTTCGAGGCCAGGAGGTGAAAGGGGCCCCATTAGGAAGGCGCTTAAGGCATTTGAACATAGAATAGCTGAGTACATTCCGAAGATGACACAGATCCAGTACTGTATTTTTCAGGGTTAGAGAGGTTGCTGTAGACCCTGCACCCCCTATGACGTTTCCAGACAAGAAGAGTTGACTTTAAAAACATTCATAGGAGGACTCTTCAGGATTGACATTGTTAGTCACTGGTTCCCTTTTCCTAGGCCATGCAGTAAGGAATTTTTTTAAGCTGTCTAAGAAGTTTATATTTATTGTTCTCAATTATTCCAGCCAGCCCAGTGTGCTTAAATCAGTCTTCCTGAGGCTGTAAAAAAAAAAACCCACAGTGTCTCCTCAGCTAAAAACTGATAATACTGCTGAAGTCTGTAGTTCTGCAAAAATGCCACAGTTTTAAAATGTGGTTAGTAGGAAAGTAAGTTAATGCTGAAATGTAATTCCCTGCACTGTTGCCCCTTCTTCCCTAACAACTTGTATCTATAGCACTTGTCCCTAGTAGTGTATTGACTATGCTGAAGGTTCTCATGCTCCCTGCCAGTCATTTAAACATAATGGGGTTAATTTACTAAAGGAAATAGACTGTTCACGGTGCAAGGGAATTTGCACCTTGCAGGGGAAGAATCCCATAGCTTAGTAATTGTGGTGACACTTTACTTTGTAAAGAATACATAATCATGTGCAAGGCAAATAAAAAAACAGCATTTTTGGGTGGGTGAGGGAAGTCAGCAGAGTTTCCACTCATTCACTATACCAAGGGCCAACTTCTCCTGCTAAGTGCAAATTCCCTTGCAAAGTGAACAGCCTATTTGCCTACAATAAATCAACCCCCGGGGGTTGGGGATTTGGGGCCATCAAAATTTTACTATAGGACCCAAGGATATTTATGTTTGGCCTAGAAATCCTATTCAGTACGTTTATACTTAGATTGTAGCCTAAATTTGCAAAATATAAAACTGCACGCTGAAATACATATGTTTAAAACCATGACAAAGATTCATATAAATCCTTTCCTAGAGTTATATATTTTATGGTCTTTATCTAAGTGAAGGATACATTCATTTTAACTTTTATTTTATTTTGCTCTTCAAGAAAAAGCACTTTAAAATATAAGTACATATCGTTCCATGTATTAGTTTACTCTGCTATTTCTCAGAGAAGCATTTAAACTAGTAATTCAAGAAATTGTATTTGCGGTTTATAGCACTATGAACTTTTGAAATATGAATGTAATAATATATTATGTGAAAATATTATATTATGTAAAAAATATGAATGTTGCAATTTATATTATTTTTATTGTTAAAGAAACATACCAAAATGCCTTCCTCTTGATGATACTGCTTCCAGTTTCTTCCTGTGTCGCTGTACATTAACAGATAGCTTGTTACCCAGTCTGAGCTTCCATATTTGCCTTGAGTTGCAATTGCAGTAATTTCTTTTCTTTCTCCTAGATCAATCTGGAGCCACTGGTATTTATTAGAAATATGTGGAGACCACCCTCCAGCTCCTGTGTACAGAAAAAAAGTTCAACTTTAAAGTGGCTGTATAGGTAGAACATAAAAACAGTGAGAACATTGTTAAAGATGTTGGCTTTCTAATTAGTCCCATCTTTTTGACTCATGGCACGGTATAGTGCCGACAATTTACACAGTGATTTTGATAGAGCCCATTCACATCAGTCCCTGCCCTCAACGAGCTTACAATCTACAATCTGCCGTAAAGGCTAGTTATAGATTCATGCAGGTACCATGTTTTTTCTAGTTTGACTATTTCTGGTTGAGAGGACGCACTGGGGTCCCAGCGTGCATTTTTGGTTGCTGGGCCTCCAGTGCGTCCCTGCACCTTATTAGGAGGAGTTGGCTACCTCCTGGTACACATGCATGCAATTTATCGACTGCATTAATATGCTCACACTTGGAGACTCATATACATAGGGGTTGATTTACTAACCTTATAAACACACCACGAACATGTATACACCTCTGTAGTGTGTTCCCTCCCAGCATGATCTATGGGTGGAATCTAAACACCTTTGTAGTGTGTACACACCCAGCAGGTGTGTTGTGCAAAGCCCTGCCCTGAATTGCAAGGTGATGTTGTGTAAATTAGCTCTACATTGTGTTGCTTGCGTTGATGAATGCAGGAATGTAAATGAATGAGCTAACCATTTTTGTCTAAACTGTGAAGCAGCATTATATATGCATCATGTGCATGATTTTTCCATATATGGCATTAGTGGAAGCATGCTTATAGAGACTTTTTGGTTGATAAATACGCTTTGCTGTGTAAAAATCACACGCACCTGGTGCGTGCGTTTGTTTAGGTTAGTAAATCACCCCCTTAGAGTTAGGACCACACCTTGCAGAGGTGCCTTGGCACGGCAGTGTGGCTTCTACATATTTTTGGCCAAAAGTTTGTGCAACTAAAACCTCTGATTTTAACGCATACTGTTGACAGGGCAATTTGTTTGGTTGCAGGCTAGCTGGCAGGTGAGCTGGGGACTTTCTGTGTTTTGTATTGTTGTAAGCCTTCCCAATGTGCACCCTGCCGTAAAGGCTAGTTATAGATTCATGCAGGTACCATGTTTTTTCTAGTTTGACTATTTTTGGTTGAGAGGACGCACTGGGGTCCCAGCGTGCATTTTTGGTTGCTGGGCCTCCAGTGCGTCGCTGCACCTTATTAGGAGGAGTTGGCTACCTCCTGGTACGCCTGCATGCAATTTATTGACTGCATTAATATGCTTACACTTGGAGACTCATATACATAGAGTTAGGACCACACCTTGCAGAGGTGCCTTGGCGTGGCGGTGTGGCTTCTACATATTTTTGGCCAAAGGTTTGTGCAACTAAAACCTCTGATTTTAACGCATACTGTTGCCAGGGCAATTTGTTTGGTTGCAGGCTAGCTGGCAGGTGAGCTGGGGACTTTCTGTGTTTTGTATTACAATCTAAGGTCCCTATCTCACATTCATACATACAGGGAAAATTTAGAGAGGAGCCAATTAACCTACCAGCATGTCTTTGGAGTGTGGGAGGAAGCCAGAGTACTCAGAGGAAACCCACGCAAGCACAGGGAATACATGCAGACTCCTTGCAGATAGTGTCCTGACCGGGATTTAAACTGGGGACCCTGAGTGCTGCAAGGCTTAAGTGCTAACCACTATGTCACCCACAGGCTATGGAGAGCAGAGTTATGCTGTGGATAGCCAACAGGAAATATTCTTAGTATGCTGAATAATAAGTACTTGAATAGGACTGCAAAGTAACTGTTGCATGGAAAACACACTTTTCCATGGTTGCAAATGTGACCAAGACTTGATGAACACTATGGGGCCAGTTTATAAAACCTTCTTTCCATCCATAGGCTGGGAAAATGCCATTTGGACAGCTTTAGCATTATTTTTAATAAAAAGTACATATAAGATAAAGGCTTTAAATCTAAATTGCAATCAGCAAAAACATTAGTGTGCCCTAGTGTAAAAATACATGTATAAATGATTCCCTCCTTTAACCCCTTCATGACTGAGCTAGTTTTCAGGTTCTGTTCATAAATGACTGACACATTTTTTACATTTTTGCTGTGTGATTCTTCCACAGCAGTAATATACTTTCTTACTAAATGTACCCACACATATTATATATTGTTTTTTAGAGGACAGATAGGGCTATATAATTATATCACATATGTGTACCTAACCCCTCACTTAGTTTGAATAAAATAAAAAAATTAGGAAAAAAACTAGAAGAAAACACTTTTTTCACAAGTTTTGATTATTATTTTTTTTTAGAATTTTTTTATATTAATTATAGTATAAAAAATATATTTATATATAATTTATATTTTCCTAATTTTGTTTTACACTTTATTTTAATTTTTTTACACTTTGTAAAAAAAATAAAAATAAAATAAAAAAACTTTTTTTTTTCTTGTCAGTTTATATCAAGCAATCACTATGACAGCTTGATAAATTAACTTTTTTATTTTATTTTTGGCTATTAGGCTGATCCAAACTTAGGAACAGCTAATAATAACCTTAGAGACTGATCCTGACTTTAGTCAGATTCAGATCTCACTAAAAGCTCTTTGATCGTGCCTAGACGATCAGAAATGATACATTTCACTCAAAAGATATACATTGTATCCTTTCAGTGAAATGTATCTAAACATCGGGCTCTCGAGCTGTCAAAACAAATAGCAGAGAGGTGAGGTGAGTCACTGCTGCCTCTCTGCTATTTTGAGCTGTCAAATACGGGATCGCAAATTGCGGTCCTCTATTTGCATGTAACGGCTTCATTCTTTCATTAATGAAAGGAAGAAGCTTTTACAAAAAGCTTAATTATTTCATTAATTAATGCCTCAATACTGAGACATTAATGAATGACTGTTAAATGCTGAGAATCAGCAAATACCGGCATTACAAAGCCTGATATAACTCGTCACGTACAGTGTACGTGGCCAGTCATATAGGCACAAAGTGACAAGACGTACACTGTACGTCTCCCGTCACGAAGGGGTTAAAGCCACCAGCTGGCACTTAGTGCAGCTGATAGCTCTAAATACCAGCTGTCATTTACAGCTTGGTTCTTCACTAATGATTGGGAACCATTCAGGAAAGTTCCCAATCATTTGATCACTATCAGTCTTGGCATAGTTTAATGCTATTATCAGATTATAGTATTAAAAACAAAAAATAAATAAACTTAAAACAAAAAATAGAAACTTTGTATCACATTTTATGCATTAAAAACCTAAAGTAAAATAAAAAAAGACACAGAACAGGGTTTTTATTTAAACAGTGTACCAACTTAAAGCCGTATAGGCCCTTAAGAAATCCAAAAAAATGGTTTAGGTATGCAAATTCAACATCGTTATTGTCAAGTTAATAAACACATGCTGAATTTGGCCTGGGCTAAAGAGCTGATGAAAGAGTAGAGAATTCAGATAAGGATTGAATTGAGGCTTGGATGGAGGATTCAGATCAGGATGGAGGTGAGGCTTGGGTACAAATAAAGACCATATGTATGATTCAGCAGCTCAACAAGGACAAAAATTCACTTCAGGATTAATTCAGGTAGTTGATGCTTACTTTTAACTTAACGTATCATAATGCAAGATACTTATTAAGCCTTGCCAGATTCATGTTAAAGTACCACCCCATTCATTAACAATCACTAAAAGAAAAAAAATATGTTTCATAAGTTCTGTATTTAACTGGATGAAATGCAGAAATTCAGAAAAGAACAGATGGCAAAACAACATTTTATGACACAGGCTTCTATTAGTGTGGTTATGTGAATCTTGCTTCACAAAAAGCTAAAATCTATAACACCTGTACAGCAGTAACAACATTTAACCCATTTTAAATAGCCAAGGTCACCTTTAATAACAACCTAAGATAAGCTTTCCTGGATATCACTTTACTTTCTAGGATCTGTTTTCCATCTGTTCTAATGTATGTTTTAACTACTGCAGGTTATTAACTATCTGGATTCATCCTGTGAACAGTGTTTCACATACTGTATTACGCAGCATGCCCCATCTTTTTTTCTCTTCAGCAATGCTTTTGGATTGAAACTACACATTACGGGAAATTGCTTTTCAAATACAATGCTTCTTCACTCTACAAAATGGTGTGTGCATTCATTTTACAGAATGATACTGCACATTATTAAACAGTGCAGACTAATGTAGCTCTTGACTTTTTTCCATAACCTTCCTAATTGCATTACTATAAAAGGTTGCTTCCACCTTAAGGACCATTTTCACATTATATTTAGTGGTGAGTTATTATATCTGTATTGTTTAGCTGCCTTAATTTTCTTTAGTATCTTTTTACTTAAATCTAGTAGCACATTTTACACCAAGGAACTCAACTACTGTAGAAAAGGGCAGAATTTTCAAGAGATAGTGGGGTTGAGTTACTAGTAAATTAACCCCAGTGGGTCCTATTTATTAACCTCCCGAGTCTGGCTCGGGGTTACTGCTCCTGGTATGGAAAATTAACCCCGAGCCAGACTCGGGAATACCGCCAGGGAGGTTAAAGTAAATGTATAGTGATTGTGTATGTGTTTTATTTAAATTCAAAACAAAAATTTCCCAGTTTTTCTTTAACTCCCATTCAAAACATCTATTGTTTATAGAGTCCAATAGCTCAAGTTTAAATGTAAACACACGAGTGAATGGGTCAGAGTAGTGACTAATATGTCTATATCCCCCTCCCTCTGGCTCGATTCAAGGTTCAATTAGAAACAGTGAGGGTTATTCACAAAGCTGCCGAAGGCACCCGAGTGAATTACCCAGCCAAAGTGAACTGAGTCGAATGCCGTCCAGCTATTCACTTCAGCCCTGTATGGCTGATTTCAGCCGTACATCGGCTAATATCAGCCTATATCGGCTGCCTTCGTTCAGCTGAACATGCTCTGCATGTTCAGCTGAGCCGAACTGCAGAAGCTGTTCAACTTAGCCGATCCAGATGTTGGATTCACTCACACTCAAGGTAGTGAGCAG